AGGTTATTTCAAGTAAGTTATCTAATTGATTCAAATGGAGTCAAAATTTCCACCATTCTGTTTTCTGAAAAAACAAAAAGACAAAAACACAAATAGTCTTCATTTTGACCAGACCTCTCTGCAGTATTTTCATTATTCTTAGTTTAAACGATTCATTGCAGGTTTGGGTGGACTTGCTTTCATAAAACTAAAATACATACGCAGACAGACTGATAAGTGTTTTTACATTTATCAAAATATATATGAGGAGGTGCTTAAAATTTACCTAATGATTACATAAAGAATATTGTATTATAGCAAATACAAAAAAATAGAAATGATTTTACTATAGGAATGCATTAGAAATGATTTGAATACTAGCTCTTTATGGAACCTGGAATATTATGGCTAGGATTTATGAAACAAATCCATCCAAACTTTCATTCCCTCTAATGATTCCATATCTAGTGATATAGCAAATACTAAAAGCATCAATAGAAATTCATTGGAAATGATTTTACTATAAGAATGCATTAGAAATGATTTGAATAGCTCTTTTGGAACCTGGAATATATTTTAGATTTTATAGAAACAAATCCATCCAAACTTTCATTCCTTTATTGGAATCTAGTGATATGACTAAAAGAATATTGAAATGATTTTACTATAAGAATGCATTAGAAATGATTTGAACACTAGCTCTTTATGGAACCTGGAATTTATGGCTAGGAATGAAACAAATCCATCCAAACTTTCATTCCTCTAATGATTCCATATCTAGTGATATAGCAAATACTAAAAGCATCTATAGAAATTCATTGGAAATACTATAAGAATGCATTAGAAATGATTTGAATACTATGCTTTATTGGAAATGATTTGAATATTCATTCCTCTAATGATTCCATATCTATGGAACCATTGGAAATATTATGAATGCATTAGGATTTATTAAAGTCTTATGGAATTGGAAATTATTGAATTTTTAAATCATTCATTGAAATTTTTACTTTTTTTTTGGTTTTTTGTAATTTGTCAATTTTTGTTTAGGATTATTTTTAAATTAATTATTGTTCTAACCTTGTGTTTGTAAGAAGCATATGATGATTTCAAAGACTAAATGGTATAACCTAGAACTAATAAATTTTCTTTTAAAGCAAATGCAAAACTTTATAACTGAAGATACAAAAATATAAAAATGGATAAAAATCAACAAATTCAAGGTTAGGCCTATAAATAATGTAAATTTTAGTGTGTTTGAAAAATAATTATATCATAGCAGAAAGGATATACAAACAAATGTAAGTTTAATTTATTTAAATATTATTTATAAAAAAATTAATCACTTTCATTTTCAATGTCTGCAGCCCAACAGAAAGGCAGATTTTCAGTTCCATGTTTAAAAGATATTCAGATATTCATACCCGTAAATGTTTTCTAAGACTGTTTTCAACTGCTTTTTTATGAATCTTCAGTGACTTCTATAATGTTCTAGCAATTGAAACAAATGAAAAACTATAGGTTTTAAATCTGGTGATTATGAAAGATGTGGGAAGAACCTTTCATCCTCACTATCTTATTTTTACTTGGTTTTGTTTCGCTGATTATGTGACCCAGGAGACTATTATATTTTCTATTTGCTAAAACCAGACATCTCTATCTATAAAAGGCAAGATGTGTGTGTGTGTGTGTAACAAATGCATGGCCACAATTTTTGACGAATTTGCACCAAAATTTACATGCACATGCTCCAAGTTAGCAGGAAGGCGAAGACTGACTTTGCATTTCCCAACTCCCATCGATAGTGGAAATAATCGATTTTTTCATGCTTCTATGGCAGTTGTCATGTAGTTTGCGGCCATTTTCTACTGGCCAGAGTGAGAGCCTATAGCTGGCTGCCATGAATAGGCAGGAAGATAGGAAGATTCTATTGGCCAGTGTGAGGGCCAACAGCTGACTGACATGAATGTTAACTAGCATGCTAGCATGCAAAAAATCGATAGCTGCATTCGTCACAAGTGGGAAAAATTTAAATCTGCATGGCACTTTACTCCAATTGGCTCATTTTTGCTTAAACTCAACGTTGATTCTGATTCCACAGAACTGGATTGGGTGTGAAAAAGTATTTGTTGTTAACATTTTTTTTTCATTCGGTTTTTCCAGTTCTGAAGTCCTTTTTTAAAGCTGATCGTTTTGTGTTCATTTTGTATAGTTCTTTTTTTTGTAACAGATTTAATGTTTAGTATAGAGCTTAGAAAAAATTTGCAGTGTGAGATAGGTAAGAAGTAAGGCATGTAGCAACATCAGCACGGCAAAGGGCGCTCCATTAAAGGCAAGGAAGGGCAAAAATATTTTAAGTCAAGTGATAGCGATTACTGTATGAGTCATATGATTTTTGAATCAAGCACGGGCAACGCCAGGTCATGCTGCTAGTTTTGAATACATTTAAATCCATGATATAGTTGACAATGCTGCATCTAATAAAAAATGAAAATGTAAGTAAATACTAGTCAAAAATTAATAATAATTGTTGAAAATACTTCATCTAACAAAAAATGAAGAAATACTAGACAAAATGAATAATAATGGTTGGAAATGCTTCATCTAATAAAAAATGAAGATGAAAGTAAATACTACTCAAAAATTAATAAAAATGGCCGACAATGCTTCATCTAATAAAAAATGAAGATGAAAGTAAATACTACTTAAAAATTAATAAAAATGGCCGACAATGCTTCATCTAATAAAAAATGTAGGGGAAAGTAAATACTAGTCAAAAATTAATAATAATGACTGCCAATGCTTCATCTAATAAAAAATGAAGATGAAAGCAAATACTAGTCAAAAATTAATAATAATGGCCAACAATGCTTCATCTGATAAAACTACTAGTCAAAAAAGTCACTGTTCTGATCATTATAAGTATATCTTTTCAAATGTTCTTCAACATGAAACAAAAATTATGCCAAACAGTTCTTGGCTCATAGAATGTTGATTTTTTATTCTTTTTATTGCAATTCAATTAAGTAACGGTGCAATAAATCTAGGTGATTCCATTTGGGAATTACTGCAGAATTTTCTAAAAACAATCAGATTCCTTGCCAGTTTTGATAACTCTGGGTTGAATCCCAAACTGATTACAAACAATATTCATAAATATTACAAATGCTACTTTCTCCAATTTGAGAATGAATCTATATCTATCTATTGATTCATTGAACAATATTGAGACGTGTTTATGAGTGGGTGGCGAGGGGTTTGGTACAATGACTTTTTCTGCAGGTTATTGAACTGTTAATGGTTATGTGTCTATTTATGGCATCTCCTTTTTTTGGTTTCTGGTTAGTAACTCGAAACAAATATCCTCTTTGTTTGTTTATTTTCAGTTGTTTTTCTTTGCATATCATTTTTATTTTATTTAATCATTTTGCTCTAAACAAGGCAATAAAGCCACTAAGATACTGTACTTAAATTTGTAAAGTCATGTACCAAAGTGGAACAATTACTATGAAAATATTTATAGAAAAGGCACAGAGAAGCTATATTATGGCAGTGGCAAAATGACTGGATCTGAGATGCCACATTAAGATCAATAACATTGCAGATTCTTCTCTAGATTTTGTTATTTTATATTGAATATAAGATAATTTCTATTTTATATTAAAGATGCCTGGAATATAACTTTCAATAACTAAGGTGGTATTTTTATTTAACAAGAATAAACAAAATAATATAGAATGAATGCAAGACAAAGTGAAATTTTATAAAACATTAATTCCATAGGAATAACATAATAGAAATTTGTTTGTGGAAAGGTATGTCTATCATTGACTAGAGAATCTGTGGGTGTACATTTTGAAACAGAAAATGTGTTTTGCTTTTGTTTCAATGTCTTTGGATTTCTGTGTAGCATTTTCCATCATCTGTTAAAACATTTCTGTATTTGCTTTAACATCTCGATTGTGTATCTTGCATCTTGGGTTGTTCCTTTTGCCAATAACTATATATTCCATTTTCTTATAATAGATGGTTAGTACTTTCTTCTTGTTTTCTTTTAATACCTTAGCTAGAGGTACTTACAGATTTTTTTCCATGTCTGCCAGAAATGCAGTATCATCTGCATATTGTATATTGTTGAGGTTGTGTCCACCAACAATAAATCCCGGTAGAAGCTCTAGCTTTCTCCGGATCTCTATACTGTATAAATCAAATAAAACCAGTAAGAAGATACATCCGTATTTTATGCCCCTTTCTGAGTTTCTTTTGACAGCATCGCTTTATATAGGCACCAGTCAGCTGCTATTACCATATTTCTTTGATACAGAATAGTGAGTTTGATCCAGACTGTGTGGCCTATACTTTCAGCCTTGACACACATAAGCTATACTTAGAAAACCATAGGACACTTTAAGATGTTGTAATAGTTAGAAAACTTGTCTCAATATATCAATTTTGACTGAATAGTGAGTTTGATACTCACTAGGTGCTCCACACTTTCAGCCTTGTGCCACATCTAAGCTATGCTTACAAAATCATTTTGGACGCTTCAACATAATGTAATGGTTAGCAACCTTGTCTCACTAGATCAATTATAACTGAATAGTGGGTTCGATCCACATTGAGTTTCCCATATTTTTTGGCCTTGTGCCACATCTAAGCTACACTTCAAAAACCACCATGTGTGTTGGAAGTCTACATAAGCTTTGCCAATAATCAGAACAAAATATATGAATTTAACAACTTTTTTAAGACAGAGTGTTATTTATTTATCCTGCATTTGTCTGGCACAAGGCCACAGTATTGGGACATTCAATAAAGTTAAAATTTTTACACTAGATAATTTATCAGTAAAAAATGAGTTTGTTAATAAATGCAGTGTCTGGTTTTTAAAGTTTAGTCTAGGAACACAATACAGGGTTTATCCAGTATCACCCAAACTCCTCCTACTGATTTCTACCTGACCCACAATTCTCATTTTTTTTTTTTTTTTTTTTTAATTGTTTATTTGATTTATTTAACAGATTAACAATGGGAGAGTACCGAGAGGCCATTGAAAAAACTTCATTTGGATTACCAATGCGTGAAAATTTTCTTTTGGACAAAGAGACAACTTTTATAAATCATGCTTCTTATGGTAGTATACCACGAGAAGTAGCAGATGCTCAAAATCGGTAAGCCAAATACGCTCACTTTCTGACCATAATTTAATGAAAACTTCTGATAATCATTAAAGACCTGGTAATCATGGATCTTTGTGTCTGCAAAAAAATTGAGTGTCAAATGGACATTTTTATTTTTCTATTGACTCTGCTATTATGTTTATTGTTTCAAAAAGTGATGATTAGAATTGTAATAAAACCTAAACATATGAAAGTTAATTTATACATTTCTTGTTCTTAACAACAAAAATAATAAACACTATTAGATGAGCTAATAGCCAATCAATTCAAATTTATAAAATGGTAAATAATAAGGATTTCCTTCCAGTTAGTTCACATATTTTAATAATGTACTAAATGTTTATAAATTTATGAATAAAAAATTATTTTCACATTTACTTTTTTATAAATTGGTAAATGATAAATATTGCACTGTATTAGGTTTTAGAAAGTAAATATAAAATTATTCTACTAAATAAACAATCTAATATATAATAAATAAAGTGATTAATATTTTTGTGGTAAATTCTCAAGAAAAAAAATGTATAAATTCCTTTTATCATATGTTTAGGTTTTATTTCAATTCTAATCATCCCTTTTCAGCAATAAACTTTGCTGAGGAGTGAAGGTAGTTAAAATAATAATAGTGGCGTCAAGAGAAAAACTATCCTTTTGACACTCCATTTTTTTGTGGGGGGAGCACAAATGTCCAGGTTTGCCTTTTCAAAAAATATTTTTTAATCTTTTTACCCTAAACAAGGTGATAATGCCACTAAGATGCAAGGGGTTACTGAGAGTAAAAGAAAATGAGAAGAATTTAGTGAAGAGAAAGGACAATAAAAGAACAGGATTCTGGAAGACAGAAGATTGCAATTGACACATTTGACACTCAGTTTTTTTGCAGGCATGAAGATCCAAGTTTGCCAGAGAAATAGATTAAATTTGATATTTCCAATAAGCAAAATATTTTGCTGCATTTTAAAAACTATCAGGTCATCCCATAAGTTCTGTCCGAATTTTAACTTTTTGTTAAAATGAACAAAATTTAAAGAGTATTTTATAATGTCTAATGGAGCTGAACATTATTTTTATGTTTAGATGAATTTAAACTGATCAAATTTTATTTCAGAGAACAATAAAATTAAATTTTGTTTGATTAAAACCCTGCTAACATGGAAGTACCCAAGAATCATTTGAGGCACATAATGCTTTATGAGTTCAAGAAAGGAAACTCAGCAGCGAAGCGGCTAGGAAACATTCACTCAGTTTATGGAGAGGAATATGTGAATGAAAGAACTTGCAGAAGATGGTTTGCAAAATTCAGAGGTGGAAATTTCACCCTTGAAGATGAAGATCGAACCGGACGTCCAGTTGAGTTTGATGAAAAGCTTCTTGAAGCAGCCCTTGAAGAAAATCCTGCTTTATCAGTTGAGGAATTGGCAGTGGTTCTCAGTTCAAATCATACAACTGTTCCAAGTCATCTTCAACAACTTGGAAAAGTTCCTAAACTTGGAAAATGGGTGTCTCATGAATTGTCTGAAAACAACCTCAAATCCCGAGTTGACATCTGCTCTTCTCTCCATTCTTGCCAACTTGTTTCACCTTTTTGGATAGACTTGTGACTGGCGATGAAAAATGGATCTTTTATCGAAATGTTAAGCGTCATAGACAGTGGCTTGGTAAAGGGGAAGGACCCCAGCCACAGCCGAGAAGGGAACTTCATGGGCAAATTGTTCTTTTTTCAATCTAGTGGGATCACCAAGGAATAATCCACTTTGAATTCTTACCACCTAATGCAACAATTAATGCTCAAATATACCGTCAGCAATTAGAGTGTTTGAACCAAGCTTTGAGGAAAAAAAAACCTGCTCTAGTGAATCGAAAAGAGGTGATGTTTCATCAGGACAATGCGCAACCCCACACAGCAAGAATCACATCACAAAAGATCGAAGAACTTGGTTGAGAGAAAATTCCTCATGCACCTTATTCTCCTGATCTTGCTCCCTCAGACTACCATTTGTTTCGTAGCTTACAGAATCATTTGGAAGAAACAGCTTTTGTAACACAGGAAGAGGTTAAAACTGACATTTGTGAGTTCTTCAAATCAAAGCCAAAAGAATTTTACAGTAATGGAATTAGTAAGCTTGTTAATAGATAGAAGGAAGTCATAGATAATCAGGGAAAATACATTGTTGATTGAATCTGTAATTAAATGTAACATTTGGTCACTTGTTTTCTTTATTCAAAATTCGGACAGAACTTATGGGATGACCTGATAATTTAAGTTAACTGGTAGAAGTTGATTTTTTTTTTTTTTTTGCTAAAATAGCTAATAAACGTCCCCTTTTTCTTTTTAAATCACCTTTCATCGAAATATAATTCACTGAATTAAAACATCTTTCAAAAATAAAATGTACTATTAGCTGATTTAAAGTGTAATTAATTTGATTTGAAACAACTATTATTTACTTTAAGTTTAACATATATCACAGAAATGCATTTTTTAACCAGACAGTAGCTGTTTATTTAAAGCATTTATGGGTTTGATAGATTGATGACAGATTGATATTTATCTAAGGTTGTTCTATAGGAGCTTTAGGCATTGAAAAATAATTGAATTAACGTGAGTGCCTTTTATATATAATTTTTAAGTACTCAGTAATCTTTAAAATTTTAGAAAATATTCTCTGTAATCTAATCTTTTACAGAATTTTAAATATTTTTGGCTGTAAATTTACTATAGTTATCTCTCTTATTTTCTGATAATGTCATGCATGGTCAACTGTATATAGAAAATTAGCACATTTATACACATAAAAAATCCAAAATTGTTTTAAAAATATCGGTGTGTGAGTTGTACTAAGTTCTTCAGTTTATGATTAGTAAATATAGTTTTCACTTAATTATAGTATTATCTAAAAGGGACAAAATAAGAGAGAATTTTAAATGATTAAAAAATATTTAAAACTTAATAAGGTATTCTAATTTAAATGTTAAAAAAAATTAAAACAAATCTTGTATAAATTCATTATTCACTGAAAAAAAAATTTTTCTTGAGTCAATAAAGCTTTTTTTATTAAATAATGTCTCAGTTTGATTGCATTTTTTATTTTACAATTCAGAGAAGACTTTCAGTAAATGAGTAATAGTTTGAAAAAAATTTGTTGATTTACATTCTCCAAGGACTTCTGCTTTTAACTAATATAAATATGAAGGGCAAAATTTGATTTCTGGAAATTTCATTAAGGAAGTAAGAGCAAGGTAACAGATGTAAAAAAAAAAAAAAAAAAAATTTCTACTAAAATTTTATTAAAAAAAAAAATTAAATTTTAAAAAGAATTTCCAAATCAAAATGTAAAAAAGATGCTAAAATTTCCTGTACTAACTTTGCTGCCCTGTTGACAAAGAAAAACAAAATCTTTTGAACATGCTAGAAAGGATTAAAAGATTTAATAAAAATAATCAAAAAATACTTTGATCTTTCCTCTTAATAATAACAAACATTTTGGCAATAAAACTTATCAAGTTTGGGGCCTTTTTCATCATGGTATGCTCTTTTTTCAGTGAATTATTAGAAGTACTCCCCTCCCTCTCTCTCATATATATATATATATATATTCAAACATGTATTGTTAAATATAACAGACAACAAATGTCTTATGTTTGATCATGAGCCATTCTAAGCTTCATATAGTTGCTTTAATTTCGGGAGAAAATAGACAAAAACTGTCCAACATTTGGATATTTTTTTAATTAATATCAGTGATACAATCTCTGAATGGCCATGTAAATTGGTGCACTACATTGACCTCATAGTCTCTAATAACCCTACAACCACAAAGCTAAATCCTCTACAAAAAACAATGTATCTCTGATACTAATAATAAATCTACTACATATATTGGTTCTACTCCAACCACACTCTCTCATAGACTTACCTGTCACCTTGGTTCTATTAAACAACATTTCTTAGAAAAACATAGCCATGTATATAATATTAGACAGATATTAGATGATAACGCAACAATACTCACACAGACACACAGTAAAAAGAAGCTTAAGATATTGGAGGCCATCTACATTAAAACAAAGCAACCCACACTCAACAAAATTACTTTTCAAACCAGTCACAACACATTACATTGCATCTAAACATATGGTTCTGTTGTTAATATTTTGTTCTCTTATATGGTATGACTTCATAGAACTGCATCACAAATTTATGACTTGTGTCTGCTATTCCATGACAGTTATCATCACATAGCAAACTTCTATATCAGCATAACAGAATATCATCTTAGATGGTGAATATCTTTGTTTAAAAGTCCATATAACCACTCTGATGATGGCTCATGTGAACAAAAAACTTAAAGGAACAGCATAATAAAAAATATTCAAATGTTGGACAGTTTTTGTCTTTTTCTCCCAAAATTAAAGCAACTATACGAAGCTTAGAAGAGCTCATGATCAAACATAATAGACATTCATTGTCTGTTATATTTAACAATGTTTGAATAACGATCTGCTGCCCCAATACAATATATATTAAAAGAGTGCTCAATACAGAGTAGAGCAAATTATTATACATTCAACACCATCACTTGATAAGATATCAGAAGTGTTGAAAGAAAATGGCTATTTTTGTAGTGATTTTATAACATATTTATTTTAAAATTCTTGAATAAATAATTATATATATATATATATATTGATGCATGTTTCATTAAATAATATAGACAACTTTTGTCTATTTATTTTAACTAAGTTCCTTTCATATTGTCTGATAAGCTTAATAACATTATCATTGAAAGATGAAAGGAAAACACCATGTTGATACATGTTTAAATCCAATCTAAGCTCTCGGCTTACACAAGCCATTATCAAAGATGACAATTTCAATAAATCAAACAACAACGGATGAAACAACAATGATAGTCCACCCTTGCTGCATGAAACTTGTGTATATATATATATATATATATATATATATATATATATATATATATATACTAGCAGTAGAGCCTGGCGTTGAGAGATAGATCAAGTATCGACCATCATAAAGACTTAAAAATAAAATTGACAAAGATTGTTTAAGGTTGACAGATACGCATGTCTTAATTATTTGGGGGGGGGGTTAACAAATTGGTCAAACAAAAACATTGTTTTCAATCATTATTAGTCTACTGATTGAATAGAATTTTATTATAAACAATTGTCTTGTAAATGGAATTTTTAAAGCATTCTGAATGTAAAAATAAAGAAAAAAGTGTGCAAGACAATAAGAAACACTACCTGTCAAAAAAAGTAAAGTTTTGTTGAAATCGGTTGAAAAATGTAGGAAATCCGATCCCATATATAAATGAACACACACACACACACACACAAACAAACTGGGTTTTATAATAAGTATAACTCGATATGAGTTGTCCCCCTTTCATTCTGGTGACAGAATCGTGTTTTCAAATTGATTTCATGCAAAAACAATTGTGTTTTTCCAATTTTTGGCAGTCAGAACCACCACAAGGTAATTTTACGCAGTCCTGTGAAGTTTTGTTGAAATCGGTTGAAAAATGTAGGAAATCCGATCCAATATATAAACGTACAGACACACACACACAACCTGGGTTTTATAATAAGTAAGATATATATATATAAGTCAGAAAAAGTTTTTAAAAAAAGTTTAGAAAAAGTTTCAAAAACTTCATACACCAAAAATAAAAATGATATCAAAATTTAAAATAATATTATGGATTACTTGTAATTCCATATATGAGTCCCAGTATAAATAATTACTGACTGATTTTATCAATGTGATATTTTTGCATTATATCAAATATTAAGAATATAATAACTAGTCAATCAGTTTTGTGCCATGCATGATATATGCTTAGGTGATCATGTATCTTTCAATACATGACTGATGAGGCAGATTTTTTCCCGCAGTAGGTTGCCATTTCTTTCTACGGTAGACCAGTTGCCATCCAATGCTACAGAATGTGGTCTGTGCTGCTATTTACCCATAGCTGGGGGGAAAAGAAGAGGATTCATACCTTTCCCAAGGATATTAGCACGTAAGTGAATGTAATGGATTCAACTGGAATTCGAACTCGGCATATATACAAATACAAGCTTAGGCGATCATGTATCTTTTGATACATGGATATTTACTTGACCCCCCCACACTGTGTCAGGTTGTGACACAAGGTCAGTTTTTAATGTTGGGACCAGAGTGTTTTCACTCAGGCCGCTGGTCTAAGCTGGTCAGAGCTTTTCTAAGCTAGTCATAGCTGGTCTTGGCTTGTCAAAGCTGGTCAGAGCCTGTCCAAGCTAGTCATAGCCATGATACCACTAGCCCAGGGTCGGGCCCGGAGCCAAGTAAAAAAAATTTCTTTTGATACATGACTGACGAGGCAGATTTTTTCCTGTTACAGGTTGCCATTTCTTTCTGCAGTAGACCAGTTGCTATCCAATGCTACTTTCCCAAGAGTATTAGCATGTAAGTGAATATAATGGATTCCTCAGTCCAAGCCGCTATCCATTACTCCACCGCAGGGTCCACAAATTGGAAGAGAGAGTTATTAATGATAATGTTCCGACTTCGAACATGTGGTTATCTCCCTTTAACCCACTCTCTCTCTCTCTCTTTTTTATTATAAATGTACTTTTGATCACATAAAATTTGGTAAGGTGTGAGTAAATTTTAATTCCAAAAATGTAGCCCAGAGAAAAAAAATGTTTGGGATCCAATGCTTTATAGTGTATCTCATTTATATAACAATTATGGCAAATACTAAATCCAATCAAAGGTTGACTATACATTTGATAAGGGTCATGATTTGGAGAACCATTGCTCTACAGTAACATTACCTCCTTTTTGTTAATTTTTCTTCTTGTCTTAACATATCAGTTTTTATCACTCTAATTAAACCCTTTATTGGATCTACTTCAGTTCAAAATACTGAACATAACAGTCACCTGAAGAAGGCCAGAGGTAATATGGCCGAAACATTGCAAATATATTATTCTGAATGGAAAGGCATATGATTCTGAGTTGATTAAAAAAGAAAAATCTGAATAGTTTATGGCTTCAGCATATCTTCTCTTGCGTGTTTGGCTTGGTTTAAAATACACGGCTATAGAGCTTTGTTGAAATAATTAATATTATATTTCCGTAGGAGTTTTGAAAAGCATAATTTGTGGACCAATCAAAACATGTTAGATTGCATAAATTGGTGCTTCCTTGAAGGGGTTTATAAAAATGAATAAATTTACACAATGATATTACATCTTTCTCTTTTGCCATCTTTGTTTTTCTATCTCATTCAGTCTCTCTCATTTTCTCATTCAGTCTCTCTCATTTTCTTTCTCTCACACTTTTTCTTTCAGTTTTCTTGCTTTTATTCTCTTCCCACTTTTTATCTCCCACTCATTATCTTCTTTCTTTTCATTTTTTCACCTTCACTCATTCTCTTTTTCTCACTTTTTTATTTTTTACTCACACTTTTTTTAATTCTATTTTCTCTCTCTCTCTCATTCATTCTCTTTCCTCACACTTTCTCATTCTCACTTTCTCTCATTCTCATTCATTCTCACTCACTTTCTTTTTCTCATTCATATTCTCTCACTTTCTTTTTCCTCACACTTTCTCATTCTCACTTTTTCTCATTCTCTCTCACCTTCTTTTTCTCATTCATATTCTCTCACTTTCTTTTTCCTCACACTTTCTTATTCTCTCACTTTTTCTCATTCATTCTCTCTCACTTTTTCTCGTTCTCTCTTTATTTTTTTCTCAGATTTTTTCATCCTTTTCCATTCACTCCCTTTTTATTTCTTCCCCACAATTTTTCTCCTTCTCATTCATTCTCTCTCACCTTCTTTTTTTTCTCTTTCTTTTTCTTGTTTTTCTAACACTTTCTCATTCTCATACTTTTTTGTCATACTTTTTCTCCTTCTCATTCATTCTCTCTCACCTTCTTTTTTTTCTCTTTCTTTTTCTTGTTTTTCTAACACTTTCTCATTCTCATACTTTTTTGTCATACTTTTTCTCCTTCTCATTCATTCTCTCTCACCTTCTTTTTTTTCTCTCTTTCTTTTTCTTGTTTTTCTAACACTTTCTCATTCTCATACTTTTTTGTCACACTTTTTCTCCTTCTCATTCATTCTCAGTTTTTCTCATTCTCTTTCTTTTGTCATAATTTTTCTCATTCATTCGCTTTGATTTCTCATTCTCCCTCTTATTTTCTCTAACTTTCCCTTTTAGACTTTTCATTCTTTCTCACTTCCACATTTCTTGATCTTATTCTGACCTGACTAAGTCTCATTCATTTTCTTTTTTCTTTCCCTCTCTTTCTCACTCTGATTTTCTCTTCTACTTTCTTTATTATTCTGTTTTTCTCACTTTCTCATTCTCTCCTTTTCATTCCTTTCTCTCTAATGCTTTTACATTCTCTTCATCCCTCTTTTTATCCATGAGGATGACATAAAACTTCCCATGCCATCTCTATCACATTATTAGGGAAATCTTAGAAATATCTCGCCTCGGCTTTTCTTCATTGCCGCTGTAATCAATTAACAACAATATGTCCTTTGGCAAAATTCAGACGCTCAGAGAATTGATTTCATTTGAATTTAGAGAAATGAATAACTGTCGGTATTTAAATGATTTTCTTGTTTAAAAGCCCTTTTTTTTTTCAAAACGATATTTTAGTGTTTGCAAAGAAAACTTAAAAAATCTATATAAATTAAGATTAGGTAAAATGGATGATTGGACAAATTCAAATTGCAGCAGACACATCAGGACATACTCAGTTAACTGATTTCAGAAAAAAAAATTCTTTTTATTAAAAAACCATTAATCAGGTATCCCTCCTGAGTGGATACCAACTTAAAAGAAAATTTCTCTCTCCAGAATCTATTGTACATATCTATAAGTCTACCATTTATCCATGCTTAGAATATTGCTGCCAAATATGGTCCAATGACCATGTTATATATATATATATATATATATATATATATATATATATATATATAAACTCATGCCATGTATCTGTATATATTTTAAAATAAACAATAAGCTATATTTTGTGCCCGATGAGCTGGGTAACCAACAAAACTTAAGTTGTACACCAAATGTAGATATATATATATATATATATATATATATATATATATATATATATATATATATATATATATATGTTATCCACAGACAGACTATTTCACTGTATCACAGCTCCTCAGTGTGGCTAGATGTCCAATTGCTTCAAGCCAGGATCGAAACCTGACTGATTTGACATCAGTCAGATATCTTACCTCTACGCCATTGTCACATGGCAGAAAGGAAGGTAATTTTACCGCTTTTTATTTTTCTATACGATATATGCTAGTGGCTCGGAGAATTCAATTCGTACTTGAAGAGTAATGCTTAATAGCAGTAGGAGCTGCTATTTTTAAAACCTCTTTCTCTTGAGAGCTCAACCAGATTTCTGGGAGCATATATTGGTCATTCACAGACACTGTTTCTCTGTAACACAACTATATATATATATATATATATATATATATATATATATATATATATATATATATATATATATATATATAAAACCTTCAGATTTCTTTAAACTAGATAACATTTTAAAACTATTTCTAAATTCTACTTTAACTCTGTACTTGTAATGTCTCAGTCTAAGCTATAAATCTTTACTATTTATTTCCCCCCCCCAATAGGATTAAATAGGTTTGGTTATCATCTAGTTCACACTCCTAGAGGCTTATCGTTTATTTCCTGTTTAGGATAGAGTTTCCAGTTACTGCTACATTCTACTTCAACTCTATACTTCTAACATCTCCTCCTAAACGCTGAAATTTCATACACTTATTGGGTTTCCATTTTCTTCTAAAGTCTTTTTCTTCTCTTTCACTTTCACTTACCCTTTGAATCATAGTGGCATTATCAACCTTATTTGGGGTGAATTCAATAAAAAAAAAAAATCAAAACAAATTACGAAAGGCAAATTTGAAACCGCTTATGTCATAATGGACACTATTATGAATTTAGAAAACGGACATCAGTAGTAAGCAGTTATCAATGACATAAACACAATTTCAAACTTGACATTTGGAAATTTATTTAATAAAATCATTTGTAATATAGAAAAATATTTACAATTTTTACCATACAAAGAAGTACTGAATATTTTTAATGACGTAAGGACTTAAAAAGAAATTCTGATGTTTACTGATTTGGCCAGATTTTAGGAATTTGGTTGAACTGAGAACTTTTTAAGCTCACCAGTAATATCATTAGCAATACATTTACACTATATATACATGACACTACAGCAGTGGCCAGGCACACAAAGAGAAAAGGATGCTAAGGGATTTTATCTCAGTACTTATAACCCATCTTTGTCTTTCATTACTTGGAATTTTTGCTGTTCAGTTGGAGCAGTTTAAGTTTAAAGTCAGCCCACCGGAAAATCAATATTGGTAACAACATTTGGGTGCAACTGAGGCACATCCCCAAATGGAGGGTTAATAATTTGTGGCGGGGTCCCTGAAAAGGGCTGTTTTTGCATTCTCAATTTTGTTTCAGCAGCTTAAGAGGCATTTCTCCTCAGCCGTTGAGTCTTTTGATCAGCAGTCTCAAGTATGAAAAAGTAAATTAAATTTTGCCTTTAATTCTTGCGCAAAATGTAAAATATCAGTTTTTCAATTTTTCACCTTCAAGGTTGTAATTTTTTCCAGCCAATTTGGACTCAAAACCAGCACTGAAGAATTATCTATCAAACAAAAGAAATTTCATCGAAATTGGATGAAAACTTTAGAAATGCATAAACATCCAATCACACACATACACACATATACATTTTGAGAATTATAGATATAGATAATATTATTGTGATAATTTAAACTATTTATTTTTATTAAAGTTTTTATAAAAGATATCCATTTCCTTCTAAAGTCTTTTTCTTCTCTTTCACTTACCCTTTGAATGACAGTGGCATTATCAACCTTGTTTGGGATGAATTCAATAAAAAAAAAATTAAAACAAATTACGAAAGTCAAATTTGAAACTGCTTATGTCATTGATAAATGGACACTATTATGAATTTAGAAAATGAGCACTGAAGAATTATCTATCAAACAAAAAAATTTCATTGAAATTGGATGAAAACTGTGGAATTGCATAAACATCGGATCACACACACACACACATTTTGAGAGTTATAGATATAGATAATATTATTGTAATAATTTAAACTATTTATTTTTATTAAAGTTTTTTTATGAAAGGTATATATCCAAGAACAGATAGTAAATAGTAAAATGTTACTGAGTTATAATGGACAGGAAGTAGTGGAGAGCCATTGTCACCAACAATTTGGACTCAAAACCAGCACTGAAGAATTATCTATCAAACAAAAAAAATTTCATTGGAATTGGATGAAAACTGGGGAAACACATAAATATCCGATCACACACACACACACACACACACATTTTGAGAATTATAATGGATTAAATAATTTAATAAAAATAAAAAATACTTTGTTCTTTCCTCTTAATGATAAGAAAGATTTTGATGATAAAACTTTGTTTTCATCAAGTTTGGGACTTTTTTCATTATGTTATGCTATTTTATAGTGAAAATCTAGAAAACGCAAGTAGTTACTGAGTGTGAAAGAATGACAAAAAATTATTAAGGAGCGAGAACAATAAAAGAACAGGAATTAAGAAGACAAAAGATAATGATTGACATTGCATTTAAATTTTTGGGAAGCAAGAAGCCTGAAGAGAGTTCTACAAACGAGATGTACGAAAGAATAGACTGTTAGCATAGAAATTGCTACTAATAATTTAAATCGTAAAATACTGAAACCTGGCTCCCAATCTAGTACTGTGCTTAAATTCATAATACCAAGGTATCAAAGAGGAAATCTCATCAGAATAATTACCATGAAAATATAGAAAAGTTAATGTGAAAATGGAAACCATGTTATGGTGGTGAGAAAGTAACTGGAGCCAAAATGCTACCCATCAGAGAGTCAATAGTAAAATTGACTGTTTGCTTTAAAAGTGTTATCTCTCCCAGATATACTCTGGCTGACTTCTCCTTTTCAGAACACAATCTTCTATATAATAAATGTGAATGTCAGTGTGTCACACATTTACAATTTTACTCGAAGAGGCCGTAGCCCAACATATACAATTTTGGAATCAGACCAACTCCGTGAGCAAATTAAAAAATCATTCCGAGCTGGATCCAAACTCGTAATACTGAAATTGCAATTGCTTTCGGATTCCGCCATCTTGGCTTCTACTTCTAAAAACAATAAAAGGGACACAACTCTCTAACTTTCAATAGTTCATGTTCAAATGAAAAAATACTGTTCTCAAATTACAGGATTTCAAAATAAAATTGTCCGTGTTTTCAACTTTACTCCTAAAGGCTGTAGCCCAACATATCATACAATTTTAGAATAAGGCCAAATTTCTGATCAAGTAAAAAACATTCCGGGTCAGATCTGGACTCGCAATCCTGAAATTCTGGATTCTGAAATTTTCATTAATGTGATTGTATTCAGCAGTTTTTTTTTTTTTTTTTTTTTTAAATGTGATTTTTTTACAATTAATTTTTTGGTACAATAACAATTTTTATAACTTGGAAATAAATTTGGGAATAATCAAAATTAATTGAGAAATCTAACAAAAGTCACCCATGAAATAAAAATAATTACTTGTATAGAAAATAAAGACCTACGTACATCAAATTGTCTTTAAATTATGTGGCAACAGAAGAATTATCATTGAACTTTTAAAAGGTAAGCTTAAATATTAATGCAATGCTTAAATGCAGTGAGCAATTTTGAGTTCTTCTGTAGTTTATTGTTGCCTGTCGCATTTATTCTTTTAAGCTAGTTATAATGTATATTCAGAATGTCTATATCTTCAAGCAATTTATCTCCATTATGGCACACCCTTCCCCCATAGATATAGAAAATTTTAAACATTTTGATCATATGCCTCTAAGTGGCAGGGCGGGGGTCTATAGGGCCTAATACTGAGAAATGTGAGATATTTTAAATATATAAAAACATGAAATCTGAAATAAACACCTTATTCAAATTAAATATAAACTAAATTTTTAATTCACTCTATGATTGGATGCACTTGATGTAGCACATTGTACACTACTTCTGTACGCTACTGTGGATCTGTGTTTGATCCAAATTCTATCAAGATAAACATATAAACTTTGTATTCCAAAATACTAAAATTAAACCATAATTTATTTTATTCTGACAATGCCTTGCTGCCTCCACCTGACTCTTCCTGCTCAATTTATTTATAGCTTCATCGTTAACAATGTCAGCATTTTTTGTTTATTGCACATGTTATTTCATCTGATTTCTTCAAACTGATGCCTGTATTACTTTTGACACATCAGATGATACAGTTTTCGACATGACCTCAATGTTAACAATGTCTGTCACTCAAAATATGAACTATTCTCGTTTTTTATATAGCATAGGTACTGCTACAGATTTGCAGAAAAATTAGCATGCCATGATGAAAAATGCCCTAAACTTAATAAAAGCAAAGATTTTGATAATAAAACTGTTTTTTATTAAGAAGAAAGGATTTTTTGATTATTAAATTATTTTTTTGGTCCTATTTATAACATTTGAAATTTTGGCATCAGCAAAGGAGACAAAAGATTAGTATATGAAATGTTAGCATTTTTTGTGGTGATTGATTTAGAAATTCTTGCAAAAAACAAATAAATTTTGGATTTTCATGAAACTTTCAGGACTTTTCATGAAATTATTTTAGAAATTTTTTTTTTTAAATATCTTGCTAAAACTTTTTTTTTTTTTACCCCTTATTTAATTTTATGAAATTTCAAGAAATTCATTTTCGTAGGTCTTAAATGTTTACTTTATATTAGCTAAATGCAGAACTCCTTGGAGAATTTAAATCAAAATTCTTTTGTAATTACAGAAGATTTACTCAAAAGTGTTAAATAAAAAGATGCAATAAAACTAAGACATTATTTAATTAAAAAATTTTCTAATTTATTTTTGGTACCTCCACAAAAACATGTACATAAAGTTTGAAATGAAACTTCTTTCTTGAACCTTTTTATTTAAGTTTCAAGCTAATAAATCAAATTTAATATTTCCAATAAGCAAAACACTTTGCCACCTGTCTATATTTCTGAGATGAAGTATTGCAATTATTTACACTATTTACATTGTTTGGACTGTTGTCATCATCTTTGTTGTAATATTTACGATGTTTCAGTCATTGTACGCTCTGGGCCTTCTTCAGATGTTTGGAATTTCTAACCGAACCCTTTATTTCATCCACCAGGGTAGATTGTTCTAGTTCCACATGCCATGCCTCTTCTGGAGGTCTCAGTTATTTTCCTTTAACTAAACTTGCCAAGTTTTTGTTCACCACTGCTGTTGCCAGGTATTGAACTCACAACTCTTTGGGTCAAGTCACTGGATCCAACCAATGCTTTTATCCACTAGATATCCTGGTGAGGACATCAGTGTATGAATTTTTGGGACTTATATACTTAATATCTCAGTAACCAATTTCTACCAGAGCTCATATTCCTGATGTTTCTTTTTTTTTAAACCCTGAAATTAACATCTATTGGCCTAGATCATCAAAAGTCTTATTTAAAAAAAAAAAAATGTACCGCTCAGTAGGGATAAAAATAGCATGCTCCTTATCTTGAGGAAAAACCTTTCCTGATGCTTGATTTTAATTATAAAATTTCTTACAGTTACTGAAAAAAATATAAACAAAAAATTAAAGAAGTTTTTATTTATTTTTTTTTTATTATTCTTATCATCTAAGCAAGGTGATAAAGTCACTAAGACTCAAGGGCCTACTGGAAGTGAAAGAGAATGAGAAAACATTAGTGAGAAAATGGGACAATAAAAAGAATAGGTTTCAGAAAGACAGAAGACAAGGACTAGTGTTGCATTTAAATTAAGTTGGAAAAATAGCTGTCCCATAATAGTTGATACATTTAGTGTATGAAATGTGTTGGCAAATGTCTCAATGATTATGGGACAGATTTTTTTTTTTTTTATCATTTCACCTCCAGCAAGGTGATAATGCCACTAAGATACAATAGTTTACTTTGAATGAGAAAACTTTAATGAGAAGAAAGGACAATAAAAGAACAAGAGTCAAGAAGACTGGCAATGGACATTGCATTTAAAGTTTTGAAGATTGTAGATGGCAGGGAAGCAAGAAATCAGCTGTTCTTCCATTTTGTGTGTGTGTGTGTGTGCGTGTGTGAATTCCATACATACTTGTGTAGAATTTGAACCTCAGGTTGTTAGGGTATTAATCTATGCTCAAATAACGAATTAATAATAAATTAATTTTAACAAGTGATATTTGCTAAAAACAAACAAAAAAGCAAACAAAAACAAAGCTTAACTGGTTTTCTTTCCATTCTTGACCCCTTTTGAGCCTTGACCACCACTTTACTGGTGGTAGAAAAAAATGATGTAATGTCCAGCAACCTTTGAGCTCTGACCACCACTGTCCTGGGTATGACGATAAACTAGATCCTCATCCTGGGTAAGATGATAAACCACGCCCAACAGCAAGGCCTCTGATCAAGAGGTTTTGAGGAGCATGGAACCACCTCCTAATTGCTGGTGTTCCCAGGTCCACTCTGACCTGGAGTGGTAGCACCTGTTAAGGGTCCCACCTATGGACAAATAGTTAATCCCCAAACTGGGGTCAAAACACTATGAAAGTGTAAAAATAGGTTTTAATACCAGAAATACTTTGTTGAAAAATTATTACCGGCAATAAGTTTTTGAAGAAAAAAATTATTACCAGCTATACTTTAAAAAAAAAAAAAAAAAATTACAAGTGATACATTTTTGAAGAAAAAATATTACCAGAAATAGATTTTTGAAGAAAAAAAATTCACCAGCAATAAAAAATCTTGTCAGTATTAAATAACCCATTGAGGTTTATATGCAGTAAAACAAAACAAATCAAACCAAAACACTGCTTAACTGGTAAACACTTGTAACTATTTTTATATCTACTGTGAAACATCACCTACCAATTATTTGCAAATTTTGACCCCAGGAGCTCAAGCAAAAGGGTTAAAATTGTTCAGAGCTTAAAGGGTTGTGTGTGTGTGTGTGTGTGTGTGTGTGTGTGTGCAATCAGTTCATTTAAGGCGTTAGTGATCAATTTTCTCCATTTTTTAATACCTAATCAATATGTTCACATTTGTAAATTTGATTAAACATTCTTTCCTCTGCTTCTTTTGCTATGTACCCTGTGAGTGTCAAATTCTCCAGGCCTTCTGTCATTGTGTGCCTCAAACATTTCAGCTCTCTCTTCTTGATTGTTTTCAGTGATCTATGATAGTCTCTCAAAATTCATCTCAGCTGCTTAAAGTCTTTTCTCTATCTGTGATGATATTGTCCAGCATTCATGTATAGTAGGGGATTCCCCCACTTGTCTGCTTAAGAACTTCTGCTAACAACCTCTAGATGTGATTATCAAAAACAACACACAAGACAAGGGTGTAACAGTCTTTTTTCTCTTTCACCTACAGTATGCCTTTGAGATAGCATAATATAAAAAAAAATAAAAAAAACAATGTGCAAAGAGAACAAAATAGAAAAAAAACCCAAAAGCCAAGACGATACCTAGGTCAGTGAATGTACAGGTAAATTTGGCAACTCCAATGTTGTTCCATTCAATAGAACCTCTTGCAGTTCATTATTTGTAAAAGCTTCTGCAAGCACAGAATATATATACTTATATCTCATGCCCGATGACTTGGGTAACCAATAAAACTAGAGTTGCACATCAAATGTCAGTATATGTGTATTTATCAATAAATATATATGGCACTTGAACATGAATAGCCAGCAATTGGAACTCTTATGAGAAGGAGGAATGAAAAGTGGTTAAATTTTTTTTTTTTTCATCTTACCTCTTTTATGGTATCTATAAAAACATTTATTTTTTCCTGTTTAATATGTCCGTTTTAATTGCAATTATCAGATTTTTAAGCCTTTGTAAAATATTTAAATATTAATAATTCTGACATTTATAGGAGATAAAATGTAATATAAACTATAAATTGAGGAATTCTTTTCTTTTCTTTCCCTTTGGTAGGTTTCGTGCTGAGATGTTGTCTTGTCCTGATCTTTGGTTTCGAGTAAAATCTGTGGATTATGCAAAAGTGACACTTACACAGATGGCTGAATTTGTAAAAGCAAAGGCGGAAAATCTTGTCTTTCTTATGAATGCCACGACAGGTATGGAAAATTCTCATTTTCCTTGTAAGTTTATCCCTTGTTTCCTGTTTAGGATTGGGTTTCAGTCTCCTTCTAAAGTCTTTTCGTTCTCTTTTGCAAACACTAGCCGTCTGTGTCCTAGAGCCATTATTGCCTTGCTTGGGCTTAAATGATTAAAAAAAAAAAAAAAAATGTCTGTCCAATAATAGTTGTTACATTTTTTACTACATAAGAAATATCTGTCCCATAATCATTTAGGCATTTGCCTACACATTTCATACACTAAGTGTATAAACTATTATGGGACAGTGATATTTCTTACTACATCTGTCCCATAATCATTGAAACATTTGCTTATACATTTCATACACTAAATGTATCAACTATTATGGAACAGATATTTCTTACTATATCTGTGCCATAATCATTGAGACATTTGCCTACACATTTCATACACTAAGTGTATAAACTATTTTGGGACGGATATTTCTTATTACATCTGCCCCATAATCATTGAGACAATTGCCTATACATTTCATACACTAAATGTATCAACTATTATGGGACAGAGATATTTCTTACTATATCTGTCCCATAATCATTGAAACATTTGCCTACACATTTCATATACTAAATGTATCAACTATTATGGGACGAAGATATTTCTTATTACATCTGTGACATGGGCACTTCAACATAGTATAATGGTTAGTAACCTTGTCTCATGAGAACAATTATAACAGAATAGTGAGTTTGATCCTCACTGGGTGCCTCATACACTCAGCCTGATGCCATAATCATTGCTTTTAGAAGGAAAACTGAATTCAGAAGCTGAGGAGGACTGTTTGGAGGACTTTGTAGCACACTACATGCATTAGTTCTGTATTTGGTTCATTGAAAAAGTGTGAATGTTTCTCTACCCAACATCACCACTAAAATTAAATCATGTGTAAGAGTAATGTGTCTGTTCAGCTGTAGGAGCTAAACTATTGGACCCTCCTAGGTCAAAAATGGGAGTGTCATATATTATAGTATGTAATTTAATGCATGTGTCATAAATCATTTCTACTTTTGAAAACCAATTTAATGATAACTGCATCATCGAAGCTAGCCATTCCTTAGATATAAAATAGTTGACAAAAAGTGGGTTAAATAGTGTCATTGGAAGCCAGCAAGTAACTGACGTCTGTGTTCAGTGGTGTTGGTGGTGGTTGGGGGGGGGAGTCCTCACTTTGGTTCCCGTTCATTTGGCTGATAATGTTTACATTTGAGAACGGTTTTGAAACTGGGACATATTGTTCAAAATAAAGAATGTTCAAGAAGCTATGTTCCACTGTAATTTTATATAATTGACTAGCAGTATGACCCGGCGTTGCCCGTGCTTGATTAAAAAAATCCTACAACTCATACAGCAATCGCTATCACTTGACTTAAAATATTTTTGACCTTCTTTGCTTTTAAAGGAGTGCCCTTTGCTGTGCTGATGTTGCTACATGCCTTACTTCTTGCCTATCACACTGCAAATTTTTTCTAAGCTCTATACTAAACATTAAATCTGTTACGAAAAAAGAACTAAACAAAATTAACACAAAATGATCAGCTTTAAAAAAGGACTCATAACTGGAAAAACCGAATGAAAAAAGAATGTTAAAAACAAATACTTTTTCACACCCAACCCAATTCTGCAGAATTAGAATCAACGTTGAGTTTAAGCAAGTGAATGAGCCAATTGGAGTAAAGTGCCATGCGGATTTAAATTTTTCCCACTTGTGACGAATGCAGCTATCGATTTTTTTTTGCATGCTAACATGCTAGTTAACATTCGTGTCAGTCAGCTGTTGGCTCTCACACTGGCCAATAGAATCTTCCTGCCTATTTGGCTCTCACTCTGGCCAGTAGAAAATGGCCGCAAACTACATGAAAAAATGCCATAGAAGCATGAAAAATATCGATTATTTCCACTATCGATGGAAGTTGGGAAATGCAAAGTCAGTCTTGGCCTTCCCACTAACTTGGAGCATGTGCATGTAAATTTTGGTGCAAATTCGTTGAAAATTGTGGCCGTGCATTTGTTACACACACACACACACATCCTGCCTTTTATAGATAGAGATACTGTTTTCAAATTTGCTATATTTACTGTATTTTCTTGTGCATGATAGAACTTGAATAGAATACGACCACATGTTTCTGAATCTTGAAACAGGGAATAAATTACATTCTACAGAAATAATATGACCTCCTGTAGTACAGCCATCTCAATGTAAATTTCTATTGAAAAGTTGTACCATATTATCAATTAAAATCTCAATGTCATTATTATTATTAGAATACACCTTTAAGTGCTGAATCTAGATGCGTCGTCAGTGTTGTTGCTCCCATGTCACTAGAAGTTTCAGGTCTAAATAAACAACAGATTTCTTCGATGGGCGACCCGACTGAATATGATCAGTATTCGGCCCGCACCTAGAACAAAAATTTGCCACTATCTTTAGGACGTGAATTATATAAGTTGCCCCAGCAAAAAAAAACAACCAATAAAGACTTCACTTGGGCTATTCGAAGTTATAAATTAGGTATGCATGGTTGTAGTGATCTTCCTACTTGCGGTCAAGAATGGGTGTTTTTTTGGAAGAATAGAAAAAACAAACCAATAAATATACTCATAAATACATCTACATATACACATATATATATATATATATACACACACACAAATACATATATACACACACAAAAAAAAAAAAAAAACGATTTATTATATTGGCTCGCCTTGCGACTTGTTCTTTCTCTACCTCCCTTTTTAACTAACTTATTTGTTTGGTCTTTCTTTTTACTTTTTTATTCTTATTTTCTTTCCTTTCCTAAACTACACTTAATAAAACGTTTACAATAGCGTGGTTAAAAAGACAGACTATTTACAACTTTAAAAACTAAGAGAAAAACATTTGACTAAAATCGCTTAAAAATAAATTAATCAAACTATTTACATGTTAAGTATTGGTTAAAAAAAAACAAAAAAAACAAAAAAAAACACGTGTAAATTTTAAATAATTTAACACCCCCACCCCCCAAAAAAAATTATCCTTACTGGAAAGAATTTGTTTAAAAACTAAGAGAAATAACTAAAATTCCTCAAAATAAATGATCGAGATATTTACATGTCGAAAAATAGTTGGAAGAAAATATAGCGTGTAAATTTAGCTAAAATAAGTTACTCCTACAAAAAAAAAAAAAAAAAAAATTAACCATGAAGGAAACCGAAAAAGATTAAAATTCCGTTTAAAAAAATTAAAAAAAAATAAAAGGGAAAAATTACTTGTAAGAATGTTTTTGTAATAAAATGAATCTACTCGAAAGACCAGTAAGAAGTCATTGCATACGAGACTGGATGCACATCGAAAGATTGATTCTCGCAAGTTTCTCGTCATCTATATACACTAATTTCACATATACTAATCAGTCTTAAAAGTATTTAGTGATGGCATTTATGGCGTGTGTACATCTGCATTGGGAACGTTCTTATTTTGTAGTTTTGGGCCACGCATTAGCTCTATTTATCCACAACCACCTAGTTGCCTTTTTGACGGACTCCAGGATCATTTGAATTGCCCGCCTTCTTTTTTGTCCCGTTATCCCTAGGCTAGTAAGAGCTCGTATCATTGACTGTCCGGTGAACCCCCTACAGCCGATCTCCACAGGGAAACAACGAGTATGCCATCCTTTAGTCCTACAGTCATTTAAGAGTCCTTCATATTTACTATATTTTCTCTCAAATGCCTCTTGCATATGTTCCTCCCATGGGACAGTTAATTCCAGCAAAATAATCTGTTTTGTGGCGTCCGAATAAACGATTATGTCTGGACGGAGTTTGGTAGACAATATATGTGTTGGGAATTTTAATTGTTTCCCGAGATCGACTCGCATTTGCCAATCCGACACGGACGATAACAGTGACTGGGATCCTGCAACCTTCTTACTCGGCTTTGCACCTGCTCTAATGAAGCGGATAGCTCTTCGTTCTGGGATGAGTTTATTACTCTGTAAAGCTTCAGTAATAATGAGTGCTATCGCCTCTAAAACCTTGTCATGACGCCACCGATAGCGCCCGTCTGTCGGAGCTGTTCTGCACCCACTTAATATATGTTGCAGTGATCCCATCCCCGAACACAGGGGCACTTTGGTGAATCTATTTTTCCCCCATAGGTGTAGGTTGGTCGCGCTTGGTAATCGTCGTACACCATCTGAACCAGGAATCTAGATCGGCTGAAGTCGGTATTCAAAGATCTGACCATGACACTTTCCATCGATCTACACCATCCCACCTGGTCCATGCGCCCTGCTGGCTATAACCTGCCATTTTTGTCATCCGCTTTTCCTCCATCCCTGCTCTGACTTTGTCCTGTATCAGGTGTTGACGCTCCTTCACGGTGCTTTTTCCTGAATTTGTAGGAGGCAATCAACCCCAGGCCTGCTCTGCCCCAGCGACTGAACCCATTATTGCTTTTACCCTTCTGCAACAGCTAGTTCCTTAGTAGCACTCCATTTTCTGCCAGTCTTAATCTCTATTCCCGCACCTGATACTTTGGGATCTCTGGAGTTTCTATAATGGTAGCTTTCTCTTGTCCGTGACACCATGAACTCCTCAACTAGTCCTCTGAATGGCAGCTGGATGGCATTGGATGATCCATATAAGGCCGCGCTGCTTAAGCACCGAGGTAATCCTAACCATCTACGGAGGAAACTACTAGCTCTTCTCTCTAAAGTCTCCACAGTCGAGATGGGAACGCTATGTCTGGAGTGGCCATAATGCTCGTGGGAGCACACAGTGATCGTATAGCCAGGCTTTAGCCAGGCAATCGATTATTTGTCAAACATATATTTCCATAAAATATTTAATTTTTCACAATATTAAAGAATAGATATGAACCAGCTGTTTAGCCATTGCTTGTTTCTGCTAATTTCCATTTCAAAAGTGATTTTCAAATTTTCAGGGAAAGGTACCAACTAGACATACCTTGAAATACATTTTCAGATGTTAATTGATCTGTCATACTTTTTTGTTTGATATGGCTTTATTATATTTCTATGGATTAATAAACTATAAGAATAAAAAAAAAAAAAAAGGTCTTACATGAATGTAAATTAGATCTCTTCCTGATTCACTGTACATGTTGGCTGGATATGAGTACTAAGAAAGCAAAACCCAAAATAAAAAAGTTGTCCTTTTTGCAGGGGTTTTCAAACATTATATGTGGCTCACAAAGCAAATCCCTTCAAAAATAGCGGGAAGTGTGAAAAAAGATGTCGGCAAAAAGCTTATCTGGCCAGTATAATACGACCCCCTGTAGTACAGCCATCCTTATGTAAATTTCTATTGAAAAGTTATACCATATTATCCATTAAAATCTTAATGCCAGACATATTTCCATAAAATATTTAATTTTTCATAATATTAAAGATATAGTGAAGAAAACGGCAACTTACCTTGTCAAACGAAGTGACAGCGCGTCACGTGTATCTTACGACAGAAAATGTGGTGAAAAAGAAAATTACTTACCAAAAAAAAGTGGCGCGTATTCCGCATGACATACTGGAGACAAAATATTTAAATTAAAAAAATACAAAAAAACATGTCCATCGCAGGAGTCGCTATACAAGTATTTTGATATGCAAAAATTAGGCGACCGCTCCCAGACGTCGACGAATGGAAAAAATGCTCAGCCAATAAAAGCAGTTGTTGTTCTCAAATCAGGGAAGAAAAATCGTGTATTTTGGCTACCATGTTCGTCGGAGAGTGAGTTATATTTTTGATTGGTTAAATGCATTGTGACTTGTGAAATAGTACCTGCGAATCAATTTTTCGGAATTTCTTTCTGTCCCTGATATTTGAGTCTGAACTTACAGTGATTTGTTCTTTGTGTTGTGGAAGTAATTTGCGACAAATATTTCATTTGCTTTCAGAACACTTACAAAAGAAAAGAAATGAACCAGGCCATTGTTTGTTTCTTCTAATTTCCATTTCAAAAGTGATTTTCCAATTTTCAGGGAAAGGTGCTAACTAGAGATACCTGATAATACATTTTAAGGTGTTAATTAATCTATCATACTTTTCTGTTTGATATGAATGTATTAATATATAGAAATATATTAAACTCTCTAAAAACCAAAAATATCAGAATCTTTTTTAATTCAAATGAAAAATGTACAGCTAAACAGCTTTGGAAATGCTGAACAAAAATTTCATATGTTCAAATTTCATGGCTAATTTTTTCTCATTAAAATATAAAGTGCACCCCAGAGTTTTAGTTATTTTACAAGTGTGCCCTGAAGTAAAAAAAGGTTGAGAAGCATTGGTATAGAATATTAAAATGACTAAGGGAAGTAATCACACATTTACTACCAAAATTGATTTACCTCCCTTACCACTCTATTTTACATGGGAATATATATTTAATTTCATTTGGCTTTAATTTTGATGTTTCATGACCTATAAGGTTGATATGAATCAACTTTACATTGCTTTGATCATAGCTCATCTGCATACCAAATTCGGTTGATACCAAGTGATATGTCCCAGAAAGGGATATATTTGAACGAGGTAGCTAAGTGGTTTTGGCTACTATAACCAAGTAGAATACGGTAGCAGTAATTGACTGATATGTGCCGTAGTCGCAGGTAAGAAGTGTAGATCAATGCCGTAGTCCAATGGGCGTCGTTATAGACTTAGCTCTCAGACTAAGGCTCTTACCCTCCTACACGTCCATCGGTATTTATGACATACACCAGCCAATCATATTCCAGTGAGAGGGAACACAGGTGTACGCATATTCCATTACATCACCAAGTTAATAGATGAATAATTTATTAATTACTTTTATATTTTAAAAAAAAAAAATCTTTATTTTTAAAAAGCTAGAGACACCAAAAACATGTCTTAAAAACAAAAAAAAAAAATGTCTTATTTCAGGAAACTTTTATTATTTTCCTGTTTTCAAATTTCATGATTAATTTTTCCTTATTAAAATTTAAAATGCACCCCCAGAGTTTTAGTTATTCTACATGTGTACCTTGAAGTAAAAAAGCTTGAGAAATACAGGTGTAAGGCAGGAAATTACACATCACTACTGATTTCTTTGTCAATACTTTATATATGATTTTTTATATATTTTTGTTTACCTTTCAGGTGTGAACTCTGTGCTAAAATCTGTGATCCTAAAGCCAGGTGATGGAGTGTTGGCCACCAACCTGACATACAAGGCAGTTGCAAACACCTGCAATCATATCTGCAATAAAGTTCAAGGTGATTTCTCAAGTCATTTTTAAAAGAAACCTGCTTGAAAAATATAAAGCAAAGGTCACTTAAATCTATTTTCTTTTTTTTTTTTTTCACCTCAAGCAAGGTGATTGATGCCACAAAGACACAAGGGTTTGCTCAGAGTGAAAGAAATAGACAGTTAAAGAACAGGACTTGAGGTGACAGAAAATTTTAAAATTTTCATTTTTAAAATTTGAAATAATTAAAAATTTTAATTTAATTAAAAAAAAGAATTTTTTAAATTTAATTAAAAACTTTAATTTAAATTTTTAAAAAAATGATAACTGATGTTACATTTAAATTTTTGGAGATGATAGTTGACAAGAAAGTAAAAAGCCAGAAGAGAGTTCCACAAGCAAGAAGTGCAAGAGAAGGAACTATCAGCATAGAACTTGAAATTTCATCTAGTAATTTCAACAGTGAAATTATGAAACCTAGCTACTAAGCTAGTACCATGCTTATATTAGTGAGGTCGAACTATCAAAGAGGAAAGTGCATCAGAACATGAAATGCCAGGTTAGGACTGATAACATTGCAGATTCTTCTTTAGATTTTGTCAAGAATCTCTAGATACATCAAAATCAGCAAAATCACCAGACCTGATGTGGCAGCAATATTCAATGCACGGACAAATGGTAGACTTATAAAGGTGGGGAAAGTGACTGAAGCCAAGATGCCAGGACTGATAACATTGCAGATTCTTCATTGGATTTTCTCAAGAATCTCTAGATACATAGCAGAAGCACCAGACCAGACGTGGCAGCAATATTCAATGCACGGACAAATGGTAGACTTATCGCTAACTTGGAACATGTACATGTAAATTTTGGTGCAAATCCGTCGAAAATTGCGGCCATGCATTCGTTACACACACACACACACAACATCCTGCCTTTTATAGATAGAGATTAACCAAAGAATTAAGATTCTTCAAAGATTTCAAATACGAAAACCATGAAATTTTAATGGACCTTTCTAGTAAAACTGAATGTTAATAATAAAGAACTTAAAATACAAAATGGCTTCTTCCTAAAAAAAAAAAAAAAAAAAAAAAATTTAAAGAATGGTAATTTTTATTTTTTGGTAGAGTGATTTTTAGAGATGAGAAAAAATTGTCCAACCAGACCCAAGAAATTCTGTGAATATTAGATTAATAAATCTCTTCAAACATGAGTGTTGGAGAGCACCATGGCCAAAAGTTGTGATAACAACAACAATTATGAGGGCAGTAGGCCGCAATGTAAATAATGATAACTCCTCATCTCAGAAATTCAGACAGACATGTCTTATTTAATAAAGTGTTTTTTTCTTTTTTAATCATTTCACCTCAAGAAAGGCAAGACACTAGGGGTTACTGAGTACGAAAGATTCTAAGAGAAAAAAACATTAAGGACATTAATAGGACAGGAATTAAGATACAGAATGACAATTGACATTGCATTTAAATTTTTGACGATCAAAGTTGATTGGAAAGCAAGAAGCTGGAAGAGGGTTCCACAAACAAGAAGTGTGACACAAGAAAATGTTACATAGAACTTAGTTACATCTAGAAATTTCAACCATAAAATAATGAGACCTAACTGCCAATCTAGTACAGCACTTAATTTTTTAACTTTTTTTTTGTTCCCTCAGGAGCTGAAGCCCACTTTTTGGAAATTACACTACCAATTAAGAGTGAAGATGAAATTGTCCAAATATACTCTGATTATCTCACCGCTCATCCCAATATAAAAATTGCTGTCATTGGTAAGTATCCACTTAAGTTAAAACCAGGACTAATTACAAGTTTCTTTATGACTAATCTTTATCTACAGTCATGACCTACCTTAATTTTTATTTACTTTTCTTTTACCTGTGATCTGTTTCCTCTAAATTCATATCTAAAGATTTCATTAGATCTGTTTTTGTTAATCAATTCACCCCAAGTAAGGTGATAATGCCGCTAAGACACATAAGGTTACTTGGAGTGAAAGAGAATGCTTTACTTTGGTTCAAAAGACCAGGGAGGAGTGTAAACTGGGTGATAGGAAAACTGATCGACTCCTTTTAAGGAAAAGAAGTAAATAAAATTTCCAAGTTCAAGGGGTTAGAAGTATATAGTTGAAGAAGACATTAGAAGGAATCGGAAACCCAATCCTAGACAGAGTTCAGTCAGACATTGCATAGAAGAAAATAGAGTAACTTACGTTATTTACAGTATTCAGACTTATCCTCATCTTCATTGTCATATTCACAACGTTTTAGCCATTGTATGCTCCAGACTTCTTCTAACCCTGCCTTGTGCCCAATGTCCAACTGAAACAGTGAAAAGGTTTGGTTGGTTTTGTTTTATGGCATATCAACCTGAATAGGTTATTTAATGCCAACAAAATTTTTATTGCTGGTAATATTTTTTGCCAAAAATGTATTGCTGGTAATTTTTTTTTTTTTTTTTTTTTCCAAAAATGCATTACTCGTAATACTTTTCTTTCTTCAAAAATGTATTGCTGGTAAAAAATTTTACAGAAAAGTATTTCTAGTATTAAAACCTATTTTTACACTTTCACAGTGCTTTGACCCCAGTTTGGCAGTTAACCATTTGCCCGTAGCTGGGGCCCTAACAGATGCTACCACCCTGGGTAGCAATTAAGAGGTGGTTCCACACTCCTCAAAACCTTCTGATCAGAGGCCTGACAGCCAACTCCTACTACATTCCTCCCATCTCATGAACTTCATATCACACTTGGGTTGAAAAGACAGCCAACCACACACACACATTATATATATATATACACACACATACATACATTTCATTAAATAATATAGACAAGTGTTGTCTACTTATTTTATGTAAATTTTTTTCGTAACGTCTGATAAGTTTAATAACATTATCATTGAATAAGGAAAGAAATTCACAATACTGATCCATATTTTTTTTAATACAATCTAAGCTTTCTAAGCCATTATCAAAGATGTCAATTACAACATATTAAGCAATATATGGACAAGACAGTGATGATAGTCTGTCATTGTTCACGTAAATGATTTCTAAGCAACGATAAACATGTGCATATAAGATGCTAGAAGCAAAAATCGCACCGCATCTCATGACATCACACATGACCACACGAGAGTGAATTGGAGAAGTTTAAAGTATGGTAAGCCGTTGGAAGCTGTCTTATATGCATGTGTTTATTGTTGCTTAGAAATCATCTATGTAGATGAAGAAAAACTACCTTTAGATTAATAATGAAAATACTTACACTAATTCCTTTAATGGTTAGAGAGTATTTGGCCCAAAAAGTTGAAATAAAAAGCAACAATAAGATGAAGAAAATTGATGGCCTCTGAACAGTTGTGCAGTAGAATTTTAAGAGGATAAAATTCAATCCAGCAGTTGCACGTCTCAAGAAATCCTCCTTCACACTGTGTAATGACTCATAGAGCCATTTCATCAGTCGCATGTCGCATTCTCATATATAAGCAATAGTCACGTGTGTGCTTTCTTTTCCAAAGTAGGATACACACGACATGCTATCACTTGGTTTGACAAGGTAAGTCACCATTTTCTTTGCTACAAGTTGTCTACCCAACTTCACTCACAAGGCTTGGATCAATCCATTGCATAATTTTCAAACAAATTTTGAAAAGTGATGCACAGTGGGATCACCACTCTGACCAATAACATCAAAAACAGATAAATTGACAAATGGTAAGTGGACCTTGGGCCTTGTGGTTGGAAAGGGAAATGTTCTAACCACTCCACCATGTACACATAATAATAATAATAATATATAATTTGTTAAAATACTGCTTGTATTTTTAAAATTTTTTATAGATCATATAACAAGTCCAACTGCTATTGTGATGCCAATACGTCGCCTGATTGCCTTATGTCGAGAACACAATGTTTTGTCCATGATCGATGGAGCCCATGCCCCTGGACAACTACCACTCAATTTGGAGGAGATCAATGCTGATTTCTATACAGGTAAGGTTTTTGCTTTTGGGTTTGTTTTTTTTTTATAGGTAAGTTAAAAATATTTCTGCAGGCAAGATAAAATTTTGGCAAAGTTTAACAAATGTATCCACAAAAAATTAACCATTTGCTGCCAATTATCAAGAAAAAAATGATGTGTCAAAAGGGACTATTTTTTTTCTATTGACACTGCTATTACTGTATGCCACCCTTAAAATTTATTGTTTTAGTATTTAACTGTTTTGTTGCCAATTGTCAAGAAAAAAAAATTCTCTTAGTATTTAACATTTCTGGTGTGAATTGTCGAAAATGGTATGGAGTTATTTCTGAATTTCCATGTATTTGTTTAATGGAGAAACATTGGGTCTATTTTCATTATTTTCGATATTCATTACAACACAAGAGATCTATCAATAACAGTTTGGGATTATCACCAGGGATTTTATTTTTTGTGTTCCAGGTAATTTTCATAAGTGGGTCTACACTCCTGTCTCCTGTGCTCTTCTCTGGATCAACCCAAAGCATCATAATATGGTGGAGCCTCTCGTCACATCACATTGCTACAAACAAGGCCTGCACAAATCCTTCTTCATGCAAGGCACTCAAGACCAGACTTCTTACTTCTCATTCTGCAAAGCGTATTCCTTTTACAAAAATATTGGAGGTTTGGTAAGCATAAAATTTTGGTCCTTATTTAAAGAAAGCCAGCTTTTCCAGCATTTTTTTTAAACTTGCAGCATCAGATAGAAAGATATAAATAGACATAGATAAACTGCATTCCAATATTTTAAGAAAGTCATATTTTTTAAAATATTTTCTTATTGACTTTGTGTAATTTGATTTAATAAGACCAAAAGTTTGGCAACTTAGAAATGCATAATTGTGTCCAATAACACTTTTTTTTTCAAATAAATGGAAGCTATTTTGTGGATGTTGCTTCAATTGCTACTGGTTAAAATTTTATGCAATCATTAGCTGTTCATAATCATGATCCAACTGTAACGGACACAAACAGACTGCAATAGATATGAAGCATTTGCAATAGACAGGCATGAATAGACTGGGACGGATATGAATATTCTGATTTCATTAAGCTGAAAGTAAATAATAAGAGCTACACAATCCTGCAACGTATCATTTTATTGCATTTGTAAAATTCATCTGCTTCTGTATAGAGAAATTGGTCACATGATGTTTGGCAGTCTCTCTTTGGTTAATAAAACCATGTAGGTTCAGAAAAGACTCACCACCAGCAGAGAAGGGATCAGACTTTCTCCGAAGTAACATGGAGGAAATTCTCTCTGCCACCAATGGTACCAGTTGCTGAAGGATTTCAAGGTACAATCTACCTAGGTCTATTTCACTCACCAGACGGGTATGTCCACGGTACCAGTTGCTGAGGGTTTTAAAGGTACAAGCTACCTATCTCTAGTTCACTCACCAGATACGTAAGTCCGTCTAACATATTCTCTATATATATAGCAAAGGACATGCTACCTAGGCTTATTTCACTCACCAGATACGCAAGTCCGTCTAACATATTCTCTATATATAGCAAAGGACATGCTACCTAGGCTTATTTTACTCACCAGATACGTAAGTCCGTCTAACATATTCTCTATATATATATAGCAAAGGACAAGCTACCTAGGCTTATTTCACTCACCAGATATGTAAGTCCATCTAACATATTCTCTATATATAGCAAAGGACATGCTACCTAGGCTTATTTCACTCACCAGATACGTAAGTCCGTCTAACATATTCTCTATATATATAGCAAAGGACAAGCTACCTAGGCTTATTTCACTCACCAGATACGCAAGTCCGTCTAACATATTCTCTATATATATAGCAAAGGATATAGTGTTTATGTTTTCAGCCATTGTATTTCATGCAAATAAATATCTTAATTGTATTGAAAGTATTCTTCTTATTCATTGTCAGTCTCAAAGTAAAGTGGGGTATTGCAATAATTCTTTTTCAGATTGAAATTATGATGGGAAAAAGATTGTCATTGAATTTGTTCCTTCACAGATTCAATTGTGTTCTGTGTATAGTGTGCAAAAAGGATGCTACTTTTGCACCCAGAGTTTTTTTGTTTTGTTTTTTTTAATAATTTTTAAATAAGTCAGTAAATCCACGACAGTTAATATTAAAAAAATTTCCATTCCCAAATTATCGGACATGCTGCAATAACACACTTATATTCTAAAACAAGGGCCACCTCCAATTTGTACGACATGCCAAGAACTCTACACAATAAAACACATAACAAAGTGTAGTGATTTCATCCAAATCTGTTTAAAATACTACCAAACAACCAACATAAAAAAACTTTCATGACATTAATGTATATATCTTAAATCAAACTGTATTCCAAAATATAACTTACAAAAAAACTACAATATAAAACACACATATCACCGCTTCTACTAATCATGTCCACAGAGACATATATATGAACAAAAGCTGAGTATCATCTACCATGTATTCAATTGTGAAAGCAGAATAACATTTTTATTACTTTAAAGCACTAAAAAAATTAAATTTTGGCATTAAATAACCTATAAGGAGTTGATATGTTGTTAAATAAACAAATCAGATCCTAATTATATCTTCTGCAGGATCTTTCCAGCTGACTTAGTTCATCATGAAAGTTGATCCTGTCATATAATCATTTAGTTTCAAATCAACTAAATTTCTTTGCGTTTTTAAGCAAGTACAATTTAGAATACCATTAACACCAGTTCACCATTTCAAATGTTTAGAAGTTACACACAGCCATACAACATCAGGTCTTTTGTATTATACTGATAACAGTTGACAATCCTTCATCTCATCTTCAGTCCCGTGACGAGATGTGACCACAGGGTCAATGGACACTTGATTTAGTTCTCTCCACATATCTGGGTTTAAAGTTGGAGAAAGCTTTCATGCGTATTTGCATGCTTAGAATATTTCTGCCACATACGATTCAGTGCCCCTGATATTTACCTTGAGCTACTTCATAAGATTCAAAGATGAATCAGCAATATTATTGGTCCTGATCTGGCAGCTCAGCTTTAGTACTTTCCCACCGCCATAAGGTTGCTTCTCTGTCTTTTCTATAAATACTTTAATGGTAATTGTTCGAATGAGCTCTTCACTATGGTGCCGAGAGTTTTTTTTTTTAATTTAAGCACAGCACTAGACTGGTGTTGAGATCTCGTCAATTTACAGTTGAACTGACTAGATATAGCAGTAAATTCCATGTTAAATTCTCTTGCACTTCTCGCTTGTGGAACTTCTTTCCAGCTCCATGCTTTCCAGCTAATTTTAATCTGCAAAAGTTTTAATGCAATGTCAATCACTATCTACTGTCTACTTGATTACTCTCTTCTCTTCCTGCTCATCATTAATGTTTCTGTTCCTAATTCTTCCACACCCTGTAACCCTTTGCATCTTAGTGGCTTTACTGCCTTGCTTGGGGTGATTCCAATTAAAAAAAAAACAAACTGTATTATGTCTCAGGTAAGCAGATCAAACAGAGCCCACCCCTCTCCAATCAAACCACAGCCAATAACCTCCAACTTGAAGGCTTACTTTGGTCATGGACAAATGACGATTCCATCATGTGAAGCCCTCAGTCATGTGATGCAATGTCATCACAAAACTGGCGGCATATGTAGATATTGATTGATTTTTTTTTTTAATAACTTAACCTTTTGCAGATTATTCATAGCAAGAAAATAGTTTTAGATTGTAAGAATTTTTTTTTTAGATAATAATGGTTTGATGATAAGTTTTAATAATTAACCCATAGCTGTGGAGAATAGGTGGATTCATACCATTCCAAAAGTATTTGCACATCAGTGAACAAACTATCATGTAGGAAGAAAATGAGTAACTACTGACACCGAGATTCAAGCCTGACACTCTGGACTTATTTATACACCTAGCGGAAAATATATATATAATAACGGTGTCAGGCTACTGACTGGAGTGATTATTGAGTGTTACTATCCAGTTGAATTAGTGTGAATTATTGTGTGTTGATGATTTAGGTTTTGATTTAGGATTAAACTGGATATTAATCCAAGACACGCTACTAACAAGGTATTCACTGAAATGGTTAATTATCTTTGGTTGACTTTTATTTCTTTGTTCTTAAGTATTTATTTGTGATTGTATTTAAATACTGTTTTATTTAACATTGAAATCTTGAGTTATACTTAATTATTAATGGCCACCATATGCCACAAAACAAACCCAACTGGAATTGGAATTGAGCTCTCTCTCTGATTAACAATTATGAACACTACCTGCATATCCAAGCTTACAGCACTTGGTATTCCCAAGCGGTTATTCCTCTAGGTACTGACCAGATATGACGTAGCTTAACTTCGGTGATTGTGCAGGAACCAGTGATTTAATATAATGTGGCCGTAAGCCATACATATCTATGGAGCCCAATGTATCCTATTGTGTTTGATAGTTGTTGAACCTACAAGAAGGTTCCCCAACTCTTTGACAGATCTTGTTATTAAGCCTGCAAGGTGTCACCAGAGGAACCAATTTAGTTGCCAATGATTCTACTATATGGCAGGTAAGGGTAGGGTGACATGATACCAGTAGCCCACAGAGTACTACTGACATAACTTCTTAATCTAAAAAAATAATACTAATTTAGCCCAATAAAAATTCTAAATGTAACATACACCTAGTCAGAGAATGTAATGGCTGGAATATTGCAATAAATACAACAAAAATACAAATATTGTGAATAGTATTCAAAGAATTCTTCCTTTTAGGTGCTCACCTTTTTATTTTACACATCATTAGTTTGATCTCTTTTACACACATTTAAAAAAAAAAAAAAATTTCTTTATTCAGGAAACCATCATCTCTTATACAAGTTCTTTGGTAACTGAAGCAGCGTTGATGCTGAAAGAAGCATGGGGTACCTCACTACTTGAGATTCCTTCAAGCATGGAAGCCCCCAATATGCGACTCATTAAAGTGCCACCCTTGAAGGACTTTACTACCTCTATGGTGAGTTTATGCAATCAACATTTTTTTTTTATTTGTATTATTTACATTATTCGGACTGTTCTCATCTTCATTGCCATATTCACAACATTTCAACCATTGTACCCTCATTGTACCTTCTTCAGGTGATTGGAATTTCAAACTGAACCAAATATTTCGTCCACTGGGATAGATTGTTCCTCAAGGACACATGTCCCAGTGGATAAAGATGTTGGTTAGATCCAATGACTAGACCCAAAGAGTTATAAGTTCAATACCAGGCTGCAGCAGTGGTGAACCAAAACTTGGAGAGTTGAGTTAAAGGGAAATAACTGAGACATCTGGAAGAGGCATGGCATGTGGAACTAGAACAATCTACCCTGGTGGGCTAAATAAAGGGTTCAATTTGTAATTCCAATTATCTGAAGAAGGCAGGAGTGTACAAAAGCTGAAATGTTGTGAATATAGCAGTGAAGATGAGGATAACAGTCCGAATAATACAAGTAATCATAATACCTCATCTCAGAGATATAGACAGATTTTTTTTTTTTTTTTAACATTGTATATCAAATAAAGTGGATTGCTTTTAGATAAATAAATTTATGAATTTTTGATCCAGGTGTACACTCAGGTATTTTTTGGATCAGTTAATACCATTAAATGCATTATTTTCTTTATGCTTTCCAGAAGCTAAGGAAAGTATGAATAAATGGGGAAAAATTCATTAAATGCAAAGAATGTTAAACTGCTATGTAATATCTATCAGTTTAGTGAATGCTGGACAACCTCCTCTCAGATGAAGAGTAAACTTGAAGCAACAGAAATGTAGTTTTGAGAACACAAATTATGAAGCATGTAAGCGATGGGCCTGTTTATGGAAACTGGGTGGGGGGAGTATGAAGAAACAGGAAATTTTCATTAGAAACGAAGGAAAAGAGTACTGAACTACTATGTAATATCAATTCACTATATGGCAGTGAATGCTGGACAATTTCCTCACAGATGAAGAGAAGACTCGAGGCAACAGAAACAATGAAAAGAGTACTGAACTGCTATGTAATATCAATCCTCCCATATGGCAGTGAATGCTGGACAATTTCCTCACAGATGAAGAGAAGACTTGAGGCAAGAGAAACAATGAAAAGAGTGCTGAACTGCTATGTAATATCAATCCTCCTATATGGCAGTGAATGCTGGACAATTTCCTCACAGATGAAGAGGAGACTTGAGGCAAGAGTATAAAAATTTTATTCCCTACCAAATCCATGTTCTTGTGCCAGACACAAAAACCTAGTTTAGTAGGAATAGCAAGTCATAATAGGTGCAAAATTACAAACAAGACTCAAGCAATGTGCAAAATTTTAAAAGGAATGTACATTTATTACACAGCATCTGTCTATATTTCTGAAATGAGGTATTATGTATACTATTTACATTATTCGGACTATTGTCCTCATCTTTCAGGAGATGACTGATCCATTAAACATAGCATGTGGAACTAGAACAGTTTACCCCAGTGAGTGAAATAAAGGGTTCAGTTTGACATTCCAACCACTTGAAGAAGACCAGAATGTACAACAGCTGAAACGTAATAAATATGGCAACAAAGATGAGGACAATAGTCCGAATAATGTAAATAGTGTCCATAATACCTCATCTCAGAAATGTAAACAGATACTGAAAGGCTGAAACGTAATAAATATGGCAACAAAGATGAGGACAATAGTCCGAATAATGTAAATAGTGTATTTATTACACAATTACAAAAATTGCACAAATACAAAGTTTGCACAAAAATTTCTTTTTGTGCACATAAAGCGGGATAACAATTTCTTATAAAAAGGAATACCATCGAAAAATGGAAAAAAAATTACAGTTTGGGAAAAGACAAGGATTTTGAAAATGACAAAAAAGAGAAAACAATTCAAGAAGGAAACCACATTTGAGAAAAAAAACCAAAAAAACTCCTACTTGCCCCACAGAAAAGTCCCTTTTAAATTCACAGTTTAAGCTTGGGAAAATTTTTTAGAATTTTTTTCATTCTTGGCTCTCCAACCACAGGAGAATTTTCACTTGAACTTTTGGTCTCTCTGCAGCTGGCTGGTAACTGCTGCCTTCTTGATGCTTCCTTCTTGATGATCCTTTTGCTCCTGGATGTTGATTTGCCTTGTCTCCTTGCTGTCAAAAAGTCTTCTCACTTCTGACCAGAGCTCTATATATTTGGAAAATTAGGCTCACAAGCCACTCCCTCCCTCCATTCAGGTTGTTACTAGAACTTGAGACCATATTTCTCATTAGTTGATATATACATTTGGTGGGTTTTAACCACTAAGCTGAAAAAGATATACAAGTGTAACAATTTTTCCACAAACTGCCTGGCCTTCATAAAAATACACTTCTCTCAAAAGAAAGTGTAAAAAAAAAAAAAAAAAAAAAAAAAAAATCAACCTAGATGATTAAATATTTATTCAATACTAACATTTTTAAAATAGTAAAAATAAAATTTTTATAAGAGAAACAATGAAAATAATGCTGAACTGCTATGTAATATTAATTCTCTTATATAGCAGTGAATGCTGGACAATTTCTTCACAGATGAAGAGAAGACTTGAGGCAACAGAAACAATGAAAAGAGTGCTGAACTGCTATGTAATATCAATCTTTTTTATATGACAGTGAATTGGACAATATGCAACAGAAACAATGAAAAATGAACTGCTATGTAATATCAATCCTCCTATATGGCAGTGTATGCTGGACAATTTCTTCACAGATGAAGAGAAGACTTGAGGTAACAGAAACAATGAAAAGAGTGCTGAACTGCTATGTAATATCAATCTTTTTATATGACAGTGAATGCTGGACAATTTCCTCACAGATGAAGAGAAGACTTAGGGCAACAGAAACAATGAAAAGAGTGCTGAACTGCTATGTAATATCAATCTTCTTATATGACGGTGAATGCTGGACAATTTCCTCACAGATGAAGAGAAGACTTGGGGCAACAGAAACAATGAAAAGAGTACTGAACTGCTATGTAATATCAATCTTCTTATATGACAGTGAATGCTGGACAATTTCCTCACAGATGAAGAGAAGACAGGTAACAGAAATGTGGTCCAACAGAAGAAAGCTAAGAATACCATGAACAGAACATGTGAACAACAAGGAAGTTTTAAGGAATTTGTTAAACAAAAGGACCCTTAAAATCAGAAAGAGAGTTGAAATTTCTGGGACACATAATGAGGAAAGATGGCTTGGAGAATATAATGAAGAAGCAAGGATTAGGAGGTATGGTAAAAGGATAAGCATTGCTTAGAGATAGGAAGTTGTGGAGCGCTATGATGAACATGTCTAACAAGCTTGTGTAAATAGTTAACAGGACTGGGAGGGATAATTAGGGGATAAGCATTACTTGGAGCTACAAAGGATAGGAAGTTGTGAAGAGCCATGATCAACCTGCCTAACAATCTTGTGCAAATGGATGATAGAAGATTTAAGGATTGGATGGATAGTAAAGGGATAAGCTTCTGTTTAGAACTACAAAGGATAGGAAGCTGTGAAGAGTCATGATTAACCATGTCCTGAAAGCAGATTAAAGACGAATGCTTCCTCTTTTTTTTTTGTAATGACTATTGAAGAGAATAAAATTTAAAAAAAAATTAATTGTTGGGACATGGCCCTAGACTAAGGAAGTGCCTTATAGTGTAATGTCTCCAATTTCACTGGATTCTGTTTTTGAAAAAGAATTCTAAGCCATTATCCATTACACCACCTGCACATATAAGTAGCCACCCATCTTCATACTGATCATCCTTGATGTTGCTTAACTTTGATGATTATATGTGTTTTAATGTGATATAACCAGAAGCAACAAAGATTTAGGACAATAGTCCACATGTGTAGTGACCTTAAACATAGTTGAAGTAGCAGCTCTAAATAAACCTTATATCAGTAGCAGATATATAAAATATAAAAACATGTGAACCCTAAAATAACTATCTCCCTTCTGGGTTTTTCTTCTTTCGAACTGGTGTTATAAACTTTCCATGCTGAAGCTAAAAGGGGCTATGAATGCTACACCCATAAAACACACCAACAAAGTTCTCGCTATAACATATTCATATTTCGTTGTGTATACAATTTACATCTAACAAAATGTCTTGTTTTATCTTTCCATTTGTTGTCTAATAAATGTTATCTTATATTGCAAATCAATTGGTCTGTTATTTTGTGCATGTCCTTCTTTCCACCACTATTATTTCATGTACTACAAAATGTTTCCCATAAGAGACTGTCACAGTGTGTCCAATCACCACTCCCACCTTTTCTTAAACAACCCAGGATATGCCTGCTGGTAGAGAAAGGTCACGACCCTTGTGTGCTAAAAATAGCAACGACATCCTTTCAAACTGACAGAAACACACAAAACTCAATTTTCGCCGCTAAACAAGTAAATGAATATAATTCATTTCGGGCCGTATTAATTACAGTCAAAAGTGTGTTCGGTGTTTGTTGACTGTATTCAAATTAATTTCGGTTCGAAATTAAAGGTCTTTTATTTTTGTTTAGTGGCGAAAATTGAGTTTTGTGTGTTTCTGTCAGTTTGAAAGGATGTCGTTGCTATTTTTAGCACACAAGGGTCGTGACCTTTCTCTACCAGCAGGCATATCCGGGGTTGTTTAAGAAAAGGTGGGAGTGGTGATTGGACACACTGCGACAAGACCTTACACATTTAATTATTTAAGTAGCTAATCATTAAACAGGTTAATAAAAGAGAGGTTTTGTTTGAAACTACTAATAGAATAATGAGACTGATATAAATTGAGTTTGTTTAATTCGTTTTTGCAAAATCTTAATTATGTTTTTCTTCAAACATTATAGGTTTACTGGTGAGCATTTGATGATGTTCAGTTTGCCATATTATAAATGGAATAAGAGTATAAAGATTGCGGAAGATAATACACGTTCACAGAAAAATGTAGGGGAGATAATTGTCAGAGTTATCGAACTTGGTCACATTTTTCTCACCAGATGAATTGACCTGGAGATCTTTGGATATAGTGGCAGGTCTATGTTAACCCTGCAGTATAGAATATAGGGCCTCATCCTCCCAATGCTAGCTGCAGTAGTAGTAGTAATAGTAGTAGTAGTTGCAATAGTTTGATATCTCTGCTTTAATACTGATTTTTGTAACATTTTACTTTAAATTTTATTTGCAACTTTAAAAATTCAAGCTTTTTATTTTTCTTTTGCAGGACGATTCATTGAAATTAATTCTTCACCTGATAAATAATTATAAACTTGTGACGCTGATCATTCCAGTCAAAGATATATTATATATCCGAATAAGTTCACAGATTTATAATGTGATTGAAGATTACCAACGCATTAGGGATGTTATTCTGGAGCTGAGAGCATAGAATTTTTACTTCGGGTAAAAGAAAAAGTTACTTATTGCTACCGTTGTCCCATAATAATTGTTACATACACATAGACATTTCATACATTATATGTATCAATAATTATGGGACAGGTATATTTTCCTACTTCTGTCCCATAATAATTGTTACATTTGCATACACATTTCATACACTAAATGTATCAGTTATTATGGGACAGAGATGGCATTATTTGATAGTGAGTTTTCCACCATCTTACTATTGTTGCTTTTTATCCCAACATTGTGGGTTGCACTTTAGGACTTGAACTCACAACCCACACTTCAAGGGGGTCAGAATTTAATGAATGTTGCCTTAACCACTATGGCCATGAGAGCTTCAGCGATTGTGAGAAAGCTTTGTAAGAAATGTTTTCTTTGTTTCCAATTTCTTGTGCTTTGCTATTTTGGTTGAAGAGTATCTAGCCAGAGGGTTATGGTTTTAAAAAAAAAAAAGTGATAAGATGGAGTAAAAGTTGTAATACAGAATTTAAAATGAAAATGCTTAATTGACACTATTTACATTTGGGGTATCTGGACTCCCCCCTTTGTTGTCCCATTCAAATCTGGGACTCCCCCCTTTTGTTGTCCCATTCAAATCTGAGACTCCCCCCTTTGTTGTCCCATGTCTTATTGGCCATTGTGCTTTCTGGTTTTTTCAGAAGTTTGTTGATCCAGCTCACCTTTTATAGAATTTTGAACTGAACCCTTTATTTAATCTTCACGACCAGATCATCTAGGGATATCACAGCACAAGTACCAAGTGGATTAAAGTGTTGGTTCATAAAGTTAGTGATATAGTAATTGTAGATTCAATCCCTGGGCTAGGTAGTTCAAATTTCGGCTCAGTGGAAACAAACTATAACTGAGCAGTAGTAAATAAGAACTGACAAGATATTCATGGACAGTAGAACAAGGACGATTTACCATTGAAGATTAAATGATTCAGTTCAAATTTCCCTGAACATTATGACAAACACCTGAAGAAGAATGGAGGGTATAATGTCTAAAATGTTGATAATAACATTAAAGATTAGGACAGTATTCCTAATGTAAATAACGATAGATCTGTATCTAAGAAATTCTGACAGAAAATTTAATCAACACATTTAAAGAAAAAAAAATAAAAAGACCAGTTGTTTCAAATTAAGGAATGATTTTGGATACCAAAGATTTCTGTGCCTTTTCCCATTAATTCCAGTTATTCTAAAATGAAAGAGAAGAGAAAGAAAAATATGAAGAAAAGTAAAAGGAAGGAAACGAGGGGGGCGGGAGATACGATTAAAAATTAAAGAAACCAAGAATGTAACAAACTAAAAGATATTGAAATGAAAGACAAAAGAAAAAATTTTTAAAAGTGGAATGAAAAATGCGAAATTAAAATATTTAAAATTTAAGAATATTTTTTTAAAAATGTTAAAAATGCAGAAAAAAATAAGGGATGGATAAAAGAATTAAAAAAAATTAAAAATTTGAGCATGATTAAAATAAAAATGAACCAAAAATAAACAATAATATCTAAAAATAAAAAAATATTGAGCGTCTTCAACTGATGGGTGGTGGTGGTGGGGGGACAGAAATAGGGTTATTTCCCTTTAATATTTTTCTTCCGTGATAATCATTTATCCTTTGCTTTCTTTACCCAATGAATAAAAATTTATGCTCTACACTATTGAATTTTGTACTTTCAAAATTGTTTTTAATTTTCTTAACATAAATAAATCTTATTCCATATTTTTTTTATTTCAATCGATAGTCAGAAATGAAAGAAAATAAAAAGAAAGGATGATTGTCTAAAAAAAATAAAATCTATCTATAAAAGGCAGGATGTGTGTGTAACGAATGCACGGCCGAAATTTTCGATGGATTTGCAAAATTTACATGCACATGCTCCAAGTTAGTGGGAAGGCAAGACCGACTTTGCATGTCCCAACTCCCATCAATAGTGGAAATAATTTTTTTCATGCATCTACGGCAGTTTTCATGTAGTTTGCAGCCATTTTCTACTGGCCAGAGTGAGAGTCTATAGCTGACTGCCACGAATAGGCAGGAAGATTTTATTGGCCAGCATGAGAGCCAACAGCTGACTGACATGAATGTTAACTAGCATGCAAAAAAAAAAAATCGATAGCTGCATTCGTCACAAGTGGGAAAATTTAAATCTGCATGGCACTTTACTCCAATTGGCTCAACGTTGATTCTGATACCGAAGAACTGGGTTGGGTGTGAAAAAGTATTTGTTGTTAACATTCTTTTTTTCATTTGGTTTTTCCAGTTACGAGTCCTTTTTTTAAAGCTGATCGTTTTGTGTTCATTTTGTTTAGTTCTTTTTTCGTAACAGATTTAATGTTTAGTATAAAGCTTAGAAAAAATTTGCAGTGTGAGATAGGCAAGAAGCAAGGCATGTAGCAACATCAGCACGCCAAAGGGCACTGTTATGGTGTGATTAGTAGTTGGGTTGATCAAATATATAAATGAAGCTGCGTGTTTCAAGATAATCAACATCCATACATTAAATTTAAACATCAAGGAAAAAAAATCAAGCTCAGTGAACATTAATAATATATTGTATTAACAATGGTATACAAATTTCAACAATAAGTACAAAGAAAGTTGCTTCCCTTTTTCCGTAATAAAAAGGGTAAGTTTAGCTAATAAATGTTGAGTACAAAATTGAATGTAATTTAACTACAAAGTTCAATTGAAGTCTTAGCTAAATAAAGAATAGTTCCACAGTGTTTTATCAGTGTAGAAAGATATAATGTTCATGAGTGATATCAACAGGAATTAGTATGATTACTCGAATTAATAATAATTAAGAATTAAAATGTCAATATAGCGCCGTGCCTTATTTTCCAAGAATTGAACTGCTACTGGTCTTTTGGTTGATAGCGAGATTCTTTTTATAACGATGGGTAGGCTCCGGATAGCTTAGCGCCAAAATATAGAAAAGATACTAAAATACGCGATTGGTCAGGAAATGGACCAATCCGTGATTTTAGAGAAAAATTTGAATTACTTGCGATGGTTAAATTGTCCTATAATAAGTATCATGTATTTATTAACCAACGAGAATTGGAGAAGATGTAGGCGTGGCACTACAGCACTCCTTTAAAGGTAAGGAAGAGCAAAAACATTTTAAGTCAAGTGATAGCGATTGCTGTATGAGTCGTACGATTTTTGAATCAGCACGGGCAACGCCGGGCCATGCTGCTAGTAAATAAATAAAAGTAAAACGGAGGAAATGCCATATATTTCCCTTTTTACTTTATTTTGCTTTCCATAACCTTTGTGTTATAAAATAAATATATACACCCAAAAAAGAAAAGAAAAAGTGATGCCTAAAGTTTTAAATTTAATTTAAAATGCATTAAAAAAAAAAACTGTCTTCAAGCATTAATTTAATATTTGCCCCAAAAATCTTTCAAAAATAAAATACTTTCGGTAAAAAGTCTAGAATCGTACCATAATTCGCAAGTTAAAATTTATGTCATTTAATTTATTTAATAAAATTAGTTTATTAGAAACAATATAAAGTTTATATTGCTTTTAATATTTATATATATATATATATATATATATATATATATATATATTCTCATTTGTGCGGATGCTGCCTTTTCTTTTCTCTTTTTTTTTTTCCGAGAAAACGCTTTTTAGCTGAAGCCAGGATTGTACCCCAAATCATTTTTAGTCCATTATAAGCTGACCAGCCATCATTAATGATCACCGAACCTTGTTCATTAATCTTTGCTTTATAAAATAAATTATACCAGAAAAAAATCGTGATACCTAAAATTTAAAATGCATTTTTAAAAAAGTGAAAAAATTCCAAGCTAATAAATTTAATATTCCCAATAAATTTGATTGCTACTTCTACACAGTGCTTCTCTGCCTATCAAGAACAAAGTCTACAAATTAAATTACTCAGTGTTTCTTTCAATAAATGGATTTTTAACCCATAAGTATATTAACAAAATTAATTTAATGTGTATGCGAGTTATGGCCCCTGTTTTATGAAGCAGCACCAATTTTTACTTCTAAAAGCAATTTAAAACTTTTTTAATAAAAATAAATAGAATAATAAAAGTAAACTATTTATTATTAAAAATAAATAAAAACTATATTATTAAAAAATGTTAATTTAACATTATTAAAATAAATAAAACTAATAAAAAGATTATTTACTTTCCTCAAAGCCTTGTGCTTTTAACTAATTAATCGCTATAGGGGAACAAATTAAAATTTAATGAATTTTCATGAAATTAATTATGGGGGTGGTAATAAATATTAAAAAAATACCATGACTTAAAAAAAATTAAACATATTTATAATAATTTCCATCATTTGTGAATAGTTTCTGAAAGTTTCATGAAAATCCGACAATTATTTTTATTTTTGCAAGATTTTCAAAATTAATGACTGCCATTAACAAAAAAATACATAAAAATCCGCCATGTTATTTAGTAGGACACCTGCTGATGCTGAGAAACGAGATTTTTCAATCGAAAGTTAGAATGCTCTAATAAAAACAGAAAAATTTTGAAAAATAATCAAAAATTACTTTGTTCTTTCTTCTTAATGAAAAAATAAACATTTTGACGATAAAATTTTGTTTTCATCAAGTTTAAGGCCTTTATTATTCTGCTATGCTCATTTTCCGGCGATCTCGTGTCTAAACTAAAAACTATTTATTAGTTTTTAATAATAACACTAATAAATAAAATAACTTACACTTTTCTTTTTTATTCAGAACAGATTTTCTGTAAATGGGGTTCCCGTTTGACAAAGAAAAAAAAAAAAAAAAAAAGATAAATTCTCTGAGGACTTGTCCTTAAATATTAGCATTAAACGTGCAAGAAATAATTTTTCGGAATTTCATAAAAATTATTTTAAAAAAAGGCCCCCCAACCCAAATCATTTCAAACTGGATAAGAAATGTGTAAAAAAAAAAAAAAAATCATATTTTTACAGAGATCTTGT